TTTTCGCTTGGTTTCAGCAATACAGTCAGACCCTCAACACAATAATGTAGCTAAATTGCCTCTGTAGGCATCTTAATTAACTGAGCATTTTGTCCCCTCCCCGCCAAATTCTTACACTAAAATCCTATCCCTCAATGCGATACCATTAGGAGGTGGGGCCTCTGGGAGGTGATTAGGTCATGAGGGTGGAACCCTCAGGAATGGAATTAGTGCCTTATGAAAAAGACCCCAGAGAGCTCGCATCTCTTTCCTCCATGAGAGGAGACAGCAAGATGGTGAAGGTCTCCAACCTGGAAGAGGGCCCTGAACAGAACTTGACCACGCTCTTCTCAGACTTTCAGCCTCCAGAACTGTGAGCAATAAATGTTTGCTGCTTCAGCCACCAGTCTATGGTACTTTGTTATAGCAACTGAAACAGACTAACGTAAGAATAAATTAAGGAGTGTGTGCAAAACACAAGAGACTATGGTACAAACATGTGCTCAGTAAATGTGGCCAGGCTCCTCTCTTCTGAAGGACTCATGAATAATCCTAAATAATATATTAAAATGTCATGTTGGATTAGGTGCTTACAAAAATCTTATTCAATGGAATTTCTAGGCAATCGAAGGATTTCCTTCATTTACTGTTGTTAATAACTATTAGTAGTGTTTAATATTATGTCAGGTGCATTCTTCTTTCTTATGGCTATAACTAAAGTTACTTCTTCGTAGCTGCAGAGTATTCCATGAAATGAATGTGGTATAATTACTTAACCACTTCCACCATCCTGAACAATAACTGTGGTCAAGGTACACAGTCTTCAATTCTAGACCAATGGGTCTAAATGTCTTTGGGGCAGGTACACTCTTCTTAATGCCATGAAATTACAGAGTATCTCCCTAGGGTGGTGGTGGTGGGGGACCAATACACTAACACTGATAAACACATATAGTAAATATATACACAACGTCCCTTGGAAAGTTGTAAGTGGAGTTAAAGGAAGGCCCTCAGGTTAAGGATAACAGTTCTAGGTCATTTGAGGTTGTGGTTCACTTGATGGAAGGCCCTCAGGTTAAGGAGAATAGTTCTAGACCATTTGAGGCTGTGGTTCATTTTGTGAACTTGCAAACACACATCCCAGTTACCTTCATATGTACGTTGCTCCTCATGTACAGACATCCAGACTCAGCACATAACAGCAGCACTCACTGCGCACTCACACTCCAGCGTGCGGGTCTATGGTTCTACACATGTTAATGCATTTCACCCTCCTCACAAGCCTATCTTCAGAAGACTCAAAAAGCTAACAGGCAGAAACAGGACTCAGATCTTGGTCATCTACATTTAATGTTTGGTCTTAAGTCTTATAAACACATATCATTTAATTAAAAAAAAAAAAAAGGATACTCATCTGACCCTTTAAGATGTTTAATGATTCGTCTTCCTCCTCGGGGATGCTTTTCCTGAAGGATGCTGGCCTGGGGGGAAACAGAACCAGAAGGGTAACACCTGCCATATCTAATAAAACCAAAGAGAAATACAAGGCCCCGAGATGGAGTTTCTGGGAGATTCCTGAAGAGCAAGCTGAGATGACTGAGATGATGAAGCGTGGAGCTGCCCCTCCCCCTGTCTCCCACATCAGGCACGTGTTCCTCTATAGGAGGAATTCTACTCCCGAGGCCACCGTCTCCTGTCACTCATGAGGCCTGCATGGAGAGCACTTCTGGCTCTGAAAGCGTCACCTCATGGCTGTTTCTGCCTTGTTGGTGCTGAATTTCCGGGCGAGGCTCAGGCACTCACGTCCCTCTGCGGCCCTTGTTCTCAGGCAGGTACCACTTGGTTAGGAGGTGAAGCAGTAGAGGCGCTGGAGCCACAGGTTGCGCGGTCACACACACCTGCGTCACCCAGAAGGCCCGATCACCCATCCCAGCACAAGCCTGCACGGACGGCTCAGCCTCACCACAGCACACGCTGTCCTGAGACACATCTGCGCCCCTCATACCCACTAACGCCCAGCACAGCCACGCTGTGGGCCCCGCCACCCCACACAGTGCAAAGGTGCATCCGTGGGCCACGGAGACCCGTCCTGACCGCCGCCCCACACAACCCCCAGAGTGCACCTCACAGAGCAGAGTCCCCGGGATGCACTGCCGAGGTTCACAGGTGTGGGCTCCGTCGACCCAAAGCCTCTGGGGCACCCTCGGTCACCAGTTATGGGGCGAGCCCGGCTGTGTCACCCCACACTCTCCAGCAAGTGCGTCACCGTCAGAAGCTCAGTGCCCGTCTCCCCTGGGAGCCATGGGCGCCAATCTCACCTGCGCGGACTAGCGGAGATGCAGCGGTTGCGTCACTGGTGCAAACACGCACCGAGCACGCCCCCCATTGCCCCCAGTGACGCTCGCGTGCACCCGTGTCACGGTTACGGGGACAGGGCCGCAGCGTCAGCCTCGTACTCCCACGCAAGTGCGTCACACACTCGGTCCCGCCACCCATGGAGGCCAGCGCGCATGCGCACCCCGGACCCAGGCGGGGCCTCGCGCTTTGAGCTGCCGGAGCGCGCAAGCAGAAGCAGAGCCGGACACGCATGTGTGCACAGACCCCTACACGTATGTGAGCGACGACAGACCCCCGATACATAGTGTGCTCAGCCGTTGAGGTGCCTGTGCGGGCACACAGACCCTGACAGGCGTGTGCGCATGCACAGACGCCGACACGCATGTGTGCATGGAGCCCGACACGCATGTGCAGGCACAACAGAGCCCGACATACATGTGCGCGTGCACAGACTCTGACACGCGGACACACTGAGACGTGTGTGTGCACCCCTCCCATCTCTTTCCCTCCTCCGCCTCTCCCAAAGCAGCAGACGCACCCAGCGGTCCCCCAGTGCTGGGGTCTTGGGGCGGGGGGTGAGGCTAGAGGAGGACGCGGGACCAGAGCCCCAAGCCCCATGTCCCAGCATGCAGCACGGCGTACTCCTGGATGATCTCTGGGAAACGTAGTCCGGGACGGTCCCAGGCAAGGGCCTCAGGGCGCGTTCCAGGCAGGCAGCCCCACACTGAGTCCATCTTGCTCCCTGCAGACGCCCCTTCCCGACTGGGAGACGGGCTGTGTCACCCCAGCTGGGACCCCGTCTGGCCTCTGAGTGGGGTGATGCCGGGCGAGCCATGGCTGTCCTCAGAAGGGTATCCTCTCCTAGCCCTTCTGGAGCATCACCTGGAATTCTCTGCAGGCCACCGGCCAGCACAGGCTGCCCGAGCTGCTTTTCAGTGTCCCTTGCTTGCTGGATTGTAAACAATGTGCAGGCCGCAGCTATGCCCGGTTAGTCACGCTCTCATTCCAAGTACTAATGTCACAGGGTCTACAGGATGTTACAGGTACTTAACCACAGCCTCATTTTGACTCAAAATCCCACTTTTTGGTATTTATGCCAAGGAAGTAGCTATAGTCGTACACAATGTTGAAGTATATTCACAAAATACTTTTTTTCTGAAAATGTTTTTCTCTTTTAATTAGATAGACTTTAGATTCATATGTAGTTACAAGAAATAAAATTGAGAGATCTTGTGTATCTTTCACCTGGTTACCCCGGCTGGTGATTGTAGTATATAATACCACAACCGGAAGGTTAACATTGATGTAATCCACTGACGTTACCCAGAATTTCTAGAGAATAATGTTTTGTTTGTTTGTTTTGAGAAGGAGTTTCGCTCTTGTTGCCCAGGCTCAAGTCAACGGTGCCATCTCAGCTCACCGCAACCTCCGCCTCCCGGGTTCAAGCGATTCTCCTGCCTCAACCTCCCTAGTAGCTGGGATGATAGGCATGCGCCACCACGCCCGGCTAATTTTTTTTTTTTTTTTTTTTTAAAAGAGACGGGGTTTCCCCATGTTGGTCAGGCTGGTCCCGAACTCCCGACCTCAGGTGATCCGCCCACCTCGGCCTCACAAAGTGCTGGAATTACAGGCGTGAGCCACCGCACCCGGTAGAGAATAATTTTTAAAAATGAAAATCTTGCAGTGGAGGGTAAAGGAAAATCAGATTAAATCATGGTCTGTTATACAATGACACATAGACTACATTTCCTAATAATACTGACATTAATTGAGAAAAGTTCTGATGAATCAACAAGTGAAAAGGGTAGGTTAGAAAGGTACATATAATTTGAGCAGAGATGTTTTGGTGAAATTAACACAGGCTCTGTGGTCTGATTTGAGAGTATTAATCTGAGCTCTGATAGTTATTAACTTCACAGTGTGGTAAAATTTCCTCACTGGTAAAACTGCAAGAAAGATAGTACAATGTATGATTGTTTGAACAGCATCATCTACATGAAACACACAGTCATATATAACAATTAAGATAAGGTAGCTGTTATTATTAAAAATCAACAACGTATCTCAATCCATTTTCATAAAAGTAACAAGTCTGCTATTTCCTTTTAATTAGGGAGACAGAGACATGATAGTTCCTTTAAAAATCTAGTTTAAAGATTCTTATCAGCTGGGCGCAGTGGCTCAGGTCTGTGATCCCAGCACTTTGGGAAGCTGAGGTGGGCAGATCACTTGAGGTCGGGAGTTCAAGACCAACCTGGGCAACATGGTGAACCCTTGTCTCTACTGAAAATACAAAAGTTAGCCGGGCATGGTGATGGGTCCCTGTAATCCCAGTTTCTCAGGAGGCTGAGTCAGGAGAATCGCTTGAACGTGGGAGGCAGAGGTTGTAGTGAGCCAAGATTGTGCCACTGCACTCCAGCCTGGGTGACAGAGTAAGACTCTGTCTCAAAAAAAAAAAAGAACATTTTAAACTACTGCTATCTAATTTTATTTCATATACCTTTGAAATGTTACAGTCAATATTTGTCACTTGCACATATAACCTTGGGAATGTTTCCAAAGTCCATATTTGTAAGGTATCCAGTGAGTATTTTCATATTCATCAATGATTAATTTTTCAAAGCAAGGAAACATGACTGGCATCTCTCCTGTCTCCACATGCACACAGACATAATGTGACCCATGGCTGGGCTGGATTTCTTTTACAAACTATGATTTGGAGAGTTTTTGCCTCATTTACATGATTAATAAGATTCAATGTTCCAGAAACAAAACACACACATTCTTAGAGGTGGAGGGGAAGACAATAAACATACATACTAAGTGTTAACAGGAATTATCTTTGGATGCTATAAATATGGGTAATTACAGTCGGACAGTGGCTCACACCTGTAATCCCAGTACTTTGAGAGGCTAAGACGGGTGGATCACTTGAGGTCAGGAGTTCGAGACCAGCCTTGGCCAACATGGAGAAACCCCATCTCTACTAAAAATACAAAAATTAGCTGAATGTGGTGGCAGACACCTGTAATCCCAGCTACTCAGGAGGCTGAGGCAGGAGATCACTTGAACCCAGGAGGCAGAGGTTGCAGTGAGCCGAGCTTGCGCCACTGTACTCCAGCCTGGGTGATAAAAGCAAGACTCTGTCTCAATAAATAAATAAATAAGGGTAATTTTTAGTTTCCTCTTTGTGTGCTTTCAGGAGAATAATTTTTTTTTTTTTTTTTTTTGGATACAGCTTTCATTAATCCCATTATAAAGTATATAATTATAGGGAGCCCCAAATTTAAAAAAAGATTAGCAAGAAAAAAGGACCATTGTTATAGGGGAGTGGGTACATTCTAGTCATTCAGGAGAGTTTGATGGACAGGCCTGTTACCGGCAGAATATATCCACATCCTACATCTGGAAGCTGGGAATATGTTATGTTACAAGGCAAGATAAATAAGGTTGCAGATGGACTTAAAGGGTGCTAACCAGCCACCTCTCAGACAGGGAGAGTACCCTGGATTATCCAGGTGGGCCTGGTGCAATGACAAAGTTCCTTAAAAGTAGATGAGGGAGTTCTGAAGAAGAGAAACATGTGATGACAGAAACAGGTGGGGACTGAGGTGATAGAAGAAGAACCTGACTTGTCTTTTCTGGGTTTAAAGGTGTAGGATGGGGCTGGGCGCAGTGGTTCATACCTGTAATCCCAGCATTTGGGAGGCCGAGGCGGGTGGATCACTTGAGGTCAAGAGTTCGAGACCAGCCTGGTAAACATGGTGAAACCCC